TCCTTATTTAGAGCTTGTTAATCTACACAAAATATTCAACTACCATCCTTCTTCTTCACCAACAAAATAGGACTGGAGAAGGGACTAACACTGGGACAAATAATATGGGCCTCAAACATCTCCTTGATAAATCTATCAATTTCATCTTTCTAAACCTGTGGTTACTATTAGGGTCGAACACTGATAGGGGATACCCCCTCCTTCAAGATGATGGCATGTTCGTTCTCCCTTAGGTGAGGTAGTCCTTAAGGAAGCTGGAATACCTCACTGAATTATTGTAGGAGTTGATGGACTATCTCTAGAACTTCCTCCTCTTTTTCCATTCTTCCCTTCCCTCGAGGCTCTAGAGCTCCACCAAGAATCCCATCCCCACTCCTTGGATTGCCCTCACCATGGTCTTAAGAGAAACCTTAGTTTTGGACAACTAGGATCTGATCCTCATCTTCCTTCCTCTCACCATGAAATCCATAGTTAATGCTTTCTAGTCCACCTTGGTTTCCCCTGATGTCTGCAAACACTTCATGCTCAAAATTACATTTGTGCTCCTTAACTTCAAAAGAAGAAAATCCTCCTTCACCTGGATCTTCTATAGTATCACCATCAACCTTGGGCAGATGCCTCTACTCTTCTCCATTTTCCTCGTTCCCATCATCACCCAAAAACAACTCGTGTCGACTAGCTTTAGCCCCAATCGGTCCACCACCTGGTTGGAGACAAAGTTGTGGGTCGCCTCACTATAAACTATCGCTGCTTCTCCTCCTATCTATCATCTCACCTTCATGGTGTGATTTGAGGTAAACCCCACTTCTGAGTTTAGGGAGACCTCCGCCACATTAGGTACAAATGCTCCTCCTCCTCTAGAGTCGCCTCCTCCTCTTCACAGACCTTAATACCTGCAGCAAACAATAATTGTAGTGGTGACTTGGCACAAACTTCTTATTACAACGGAAATATAATCCCCTAGCCCGCTTCTCTTGAACTTGTGCCTCAATCAGCTGCTTGAAATATCCCCCTGGTCATGCTATCAATCCCCTATCCTTGGGTACTTCTCTCTAAATGGACACAGGTTGTACATTTGGTGCCAAAAAAGTATTTGTCGTCTGGTATGAAGTTCCCAAATTGCTGCCCTTGCTGCTTCTCTTAGGTGAGTTTTTGTTCTCCGCCAACTGGGCTAGCAACATAGCCTCACCCAACCCTTATGTCATCAATAATTGGACAACGTCCTTTATCTTGAGTTTGAGTCCATTCATGAAATTCTCATCCAACACTGTCTCAGAAAGCCTCCTCAATTAGCTACAAAGGTACTCAAACCTCTTCCAATAATTCATCACCGTCCCTTCCTAAACTAGAGCAAAGAACTACTCATAGAAGTCTCCTTACCGTCTGGTTCGAAAATGTTCTAATAAACTATCTTTGGCCACCCTTCATGATCGGATTGGTTCTCTTATGTCTCTCCACTGATATCAAGACAAGGCCTTCCCCTTCAAGCGTAAAGTGGTCATCGTGAGTCTCTCCTCCTCTGTCAGCTCATTCACTGTAAAGTATATCTCCACCCTATAAATTCACCCATAAGCATCTCCCCTAAAAAATGAGCTTCTTCAGCTTTATCACTCTCGGATCCCCTAAACCCCAACTTTCTCTTCCACTTTTGGCTCCTCCCATGTAGTGATTGTTGTGATTTGTCCATTGTTCTCTCTCACCCCTCCTTTTATATATATCCTCTTCCTTAAAATTAGCCCTCATTTTTCATCTCAATTTCTCTCATGCTAAATCCTTATCACATTTCCCTATTGGTTATTAGTTCAAGAGGTGACATATTTTCCCAGTCGTCCAAGATTTCTTCCTCTCGGTCATCCCTCATTGTGTCGATATTGGGGTTTCCACCACTTTCTTGGCCACCCATTGGTGCGCTCGCCTCCGATGTTACTGGTTGGGTGTGAAGTTCCAATATTTTTGTAATCGGACACATTTTCGGTGTGTCCGACACGTGCCAGAGGATTGTCGGACTAGTATCGTGTCGGATACGTGTCGGACACTATACGCCTTTTTGAGGAGAAGTGTCAGTGCATCATATCTAAGAAACCGAACACCTCCAAAATTACTGCAGATATTCAAAACTTAGCATAACATAAACTTTAACCCTCCATAATCTCCCCTCTTAAATAGCCTAAATCCCATAATAAATGTCTCTTAAATCTTTCCCAAAGAGTTTCTCCCCTAAAGCCTTTTCTCCTATAGGTGATAAAGGAGGTTCTAGGCCCCACCTGGGCAGTTGAATTGTTGCCGACCTGAGAAGCTAGGCTAATGCATGACGCTTCAAAGGCATATAAGGAGAAATATAGAGTGATCATCATGAATAGTTTGATGAATTTTTTTAGAATGTATTTTATCTTGCTGAGAGGAAGAAAAAAATGAAGTTTGGAAAAGAAAGCTATATGTAATTCATCTAAAAATTCATGTACTATTGGAATATGAAATTTTTCTCGAATGGTGAGCATATTAAGGGCTCTAAGATTTATGCAAAGATGCCAAGTATCATCCTAGTTTTGAACAAACAATATCATAATAGAAAAAGTGTTGTGATTATGATAAATAATGCCATAGTAAAGCATTTCAAAAATTAATTGTTCCATAGCAACCTTTTAAAAATATGAAAAATTATAAGGATGGAAGTTAACTAGTTGAGATAAGGATGGGAGATGAATATGATGATGAATGGTATAATGTTGAGGTAAACCTTGTGGTGGCTGAAACAAATGTTGAGATTGTTATAGTAAGGTAGAATTGAATAATTGTAGATGATGTGTAAGAAAAGAGAAAAATGTCACAGAAGGTGGCCGTTGTGGAGAAAGGATTTGGCCGGTGGAACCAAGGATGCTAATGGAAGAGGAAGGATCTAGCTAGAGTGGAGGAGGCGGGTGGTCAATGCACAAACAATCAAGTTTCTTATCAATGGAAAGCATGAAAATCTGGCAGTCAAGCCAATCAAGGTAATTGAACATTCATTTGTTTGTGAGATTTTTGGATTTTCAGCAAATTGCAGTTACTGGTTATTTTGCATTGAGCGTAGAGCTTTAGTCAAATGTGTTCTTCATGTTGGTTGATGTTTGCGGATGAGAAATTTTGGAAAGATGCAATTCTTGATAATAAGAATTGGTACGTAATCTTGAAAATTTGATTGTTGAGTTGCAGGAATTGTGCTGGTTGTAAGAAAATCATGCAATCTTAAAGATAACTTGGAAAAGAAATATGGCTGAAACAGAGTAAAAGGAGGCTAGAGCAGAACTGTTGTTGCTAAGAAGAAAGTTCAGGCGGTTCCGCCTGCTAAAAGTTGGCAATTGCAGATGAGGGGATGGCGGTTGTTGGAGTAGACTGAGAATTAGCAGAAACTACAGTTGTTGGACTAGACTGGGCTGAAAAATGTGCAGAGCTGCAGGCGATGAAGCTGGCTGAAGAGGAGCTGGTGGCCTAGTTGTTGAAGATGAGGAAATGTTGGCCCAGTTGCTGAAGAAGAGGGTAGCCTAGTTGCAGCTGATGGTGCCAAGTGAAAATCAGCTTGTTTCTACAGATAGACAAAGGGTGGCAATGGAGAAACTAGAAAGGCACGACTGGTGGAAAAGGATGGGCTGTTATTGCGGCTTAGATAAAAAATACTATAGAAATTGGGAGAGAAAAACTACAGGAAATAGCTGCTTGCGGACTTGAGATTAAGGCAACGAGAGCATTATTTGTTATGCTACTTGATCTACTTCAAGTACAACAACATATTAAAGGTTACAAGATGAAAAATCATGAAACCCTAGAAAAACACATTTTTATCCATAATTTTTTTATAAAATCACATAAATTGAAATCAAAGATAGAGGCCTACCTCATGCTTTACAATGTCCTGAATAGACCCAACAGATGAATTCCAAGCTTTGTCCTCTAAAATTCCTCTCCCTCTCTCTTTCCTCTTCTCTTCCCCTTCTTTCTTATCCGGCTAGGCGGCTAGGAAAAATGGATTTTGCATATGGTTTTAGATATTTTATTATTTAAAAACTATTAATCTAACCTAGTGCCATGATATTCTACTCCCCAGCACTGCTGCGCTCTTAGAGAATCTTCTAGATTCTCTCAAAAGGTTTCCATTCAAGCCTTAGCGTCACGATGGTATCGCCCGGTGCCGCAGCGTATGCTCATTTTCACCCCTCCATCTGAGAGCTAAATGCCTCGACACTATCAATCCCAGCACCATGGCGCTCCAGAGCAATTTTGATACTTAGAATTTCACTTATCTAATGCAATTCTCAACTTACTTAAGGCTCCCTTAAACACCTTACGACTTATAATTGATAATTAAATTAAAATTAATGATCATTAACAAAAATTATTTAATGCTAACTACGGATATTATATCCTCCCCTTTAAGAAAATGTCGTCCTTGACATTCTCAGTACATAATAATTCAGATTAGATCTATGTAGAGCTATCTCATCTCATCTTCTTTCTTCCAGGTTGCTTTCTGCTCTAACCTATGCTTCCACTGATTCTTCACCTTCGAAATTTGTTTGCTTTTTAATTACTTTACATCGAAGGTCAAAATACTTTCAGGTCTTTCCTATAGGTCAAAATAGGTTACACTTCCACTTCATCTTTAGAAACTCTCCAGTTTTCATCTGGTACCTATTTTCTTTGCACTGATGCATGAAACACAATTTAGATATCTGACATGTAATCTAGCAGGAAAAGTCTGTAAGTAGATTTCCTAATCCTCTCAATCACTTCAAGCATTTATATATACCTAGCAAGGTTTAAAATTGCGTAACTGCGCCTCGAGGCGGTTTTCGTCCGTGAGGCGAGGCGTAAGCCTCGAGGCGGTCTGAGGCGTAAGCCTCACGAACACAGAATTGCGTAAATGAAAAATTAAGGATTTTAGCAGGAAAATAATAGCAATATTGGAAAATAAGAAAGTAGATGCAATAAAATTATGTCCCAAAGTACAAAATCACAAAATATCAGTTTAACAAAACTCTCAAAATACAGAAAATATATAAAATGAAATCATATCCCATCATAAAATATCAGTCTTCAAGTGAATCTTCTTCTCCAATTGTATCTATGAATGCCATGTCATCTTCATCTTCAACATGACTCACTTTTCTCTTCCCTGTTCATGAAAAGAAAAGATTATTAGCATATTAATTGGATGAACCACTCATTATCAGGCAGACTGGCAGAGAACATATACCTTTACTTGCAGAGCTAGTAGATGTGTGTGGTGTAGTACTAGTGGATGTACCCGTTTGATCTGCTTCGCCCCTCAATACATCCACATTTAGATCTTCTACCTGTAAGTCTGATAATGACAAATCTGCCTCATCATCTATGAACCACTCATTATCAGACGACAGATCATCACACACCAACGGGTCTTCATCATCTTTCAACCCCTTATTCCTCAACCTCCTATCTCTTAACCTCTTATTGTGCATTATGTATACGAGGGAGTTCATTCTGAGTGTAGATAGTCGATTTCTTCTCTTTGTTTGCACTTGACTATATGTACTCCAATTTCGCTCACACCCAGAAGAAGAACAAGTGAGGCCCAACACCCTTTATTAACTGACTTTCAAATAGACATAATCTATAACTTTAAATCCCACAAACTTGTACTTTCGATCAAAATACTTCCTGTAACTATCCTGAGCTGCTTCTAACCTCTTTCTGATTAACCTGATCTTCTCTGTAGTACTGTCAACTAGTTAGAATCTGTCAGTCTTCTTTCTCCTTCTTCAGCCCATGACAATAGTGTCCATTACTTTCTTCCATATAAAGCTCTATACAAAACCATACCAATACTTTCATAGAGCTATTATTGTAAGTAAACTCAAACAAAGGTATATGATATTCTCAGCTTTCATCCAAAATCTGAAATGCATAGCCTCAATAGATCTTCCAGAACTTGAATAACTCTCAAATTGCCCATCTATCTGGGGATGAAAATTCATATTGAAATTTAACTTCATCCCTTGGCCATCTTGAATACCTCTCTACAGCTTCGAGGTAAACTTGACATCGCGACCAGAAACAATAGTTTTAGGAATTCCATGCAATCTGGCAATCTCCTTCACATACAGTTGAGCAAGCTTATTAACAAAGTTTTTATTCTTCATTGGAAGAAAATAAAAAGACTTCGTCAATCTATCCATAATTACCCAGACTACATCATGGCTTTTCCTAGACTTGGGAAAACCTATTACAAAATCCATAGTGATTTTCTCCTACTTTCACTAAAGAATAGGCAACGACTGCAATAATTCACCGGATCTTTGATGATTAGCCTTCATCTTTTGGCATGCTTCACACTTAGAAACAAACTCTATCACTTCTCACTTCAATTCAGGCCATCAAAACATTCACTTCAGATCATGATATATTTATTATTTCCTAGATTAGTGGTGTACCCATAATAGTGGGCTTCATGTAGAATTTTCTTCCTCGGGTCACCACTATTTGGGACATAAACACACAACCTGCTACCACAGAAGATCATGCATTGCTCTTTCATTTGCAATTATGACCTTTTCCCAAATTGAATCTAATCTATTAACGTCACATACTCTATCTACCTTATGAGTTTCCTGAATCCTATCTTGCAACGAGGGTTGAACTATCATCTCGGGATAACTTTTATTAGGACATAATATGTTTGTATCATATCTAATTTCAGCCTGTCCATCTCTCTAATCAATTCCTGCTTAAAAATAATCAAACTGTCTACTACTATTGATTTTCTGCTTAAAACATAGACAAACACATTTGCTCTTAATGACTGATAAATTATATCCAAGTTATAATCTTTGGTCAGTTTCAACTACCTTTTTTGCCTCAAATTCAATTCTTTTTGGGTGAAAATATACTTCAAACTCTAGTGATCAATATAAATCTCACATCAGACACCATACAAATAATTTCGTTAGATCTTCAATGCAAATACAATAGCTGAATCATGAGTCAATAGTTATTCTTATGCGATTTTAACTACCTGCAAGCATAAGCTAGCAACTTCATATAATATCCTGCCATAACAAAAAAATTATAACTGTCATTAATGTTGGCCTCGGCCAACCTACCATAGTCTGCACCTTCTGAGGATCCATAGTACTTCCTTTCTTTCTGACCACATGCCCTACAAATGCCACATAAATCAATTAGAATTCACACTTCAAACATTTAACAAATGACTTTTGTTACCTCAATGTCTCCAAAATCAAGCGCAAATGAAATATATTCTCCTCTTCAGATTTTGAATACTCCAGAATACCATCAATGAACATAGTAATAAACTAATCTAGGTACTTCCTAAACACTCGATGCATCAGAACCATTAATACTAATGGTACATTCATCATATCAAACAACATCACTAAAAACTCATGCTATCCATATCTAGTATTAAAAGTTATTTTCTCCACATCTTCTACTATCACCCTCAACTGGTGATAATCCGATCTCAAATCAATCATGAAAAAATATAGTTGCACCTTTGAACTACTCAAACAGATTTATCCTTGGCAATGGATACTTATTCTTCACAGTCATCTTATTCAATTTATGATAATCAATGTACATCCTCAGAGACTCATCTTTCTTCACAAATAACACAGGGGCTCCTCAAGACAATGTCACTTGGTTTGATAAAATCTTTATCCAAAAGCTCCTACATCTGCACCTTCACATTTTGCAACTCTCTTGGTGGCATTTTATATGGAGTCTTTACGATAGGAGTTGTATCCGACACCACCTCAATACATAACTCCACCTCTCTCTGGAGGCAATCTAGATAACACTTCAGAAAAGACATTTGCAAAATCCTTCACTATTGAAATATCTTCATTGCTTTTAACAGATTTATTCAAATATCTCACATATGCCATAAATATAGGATTTCTCTTCTTGCTGGCCTTATCTACTTGTAATATAGAAATCAAAGATGATAAGACACTACTAGCACTAAAAAATAAAATATTCTTTCATCTACACATAAACTCACCCTCTCTTTGCTACAATCAATCTCAGCCTATTACTTGCTCGACCAATCCATACCCACTATGATATCAAACTTCTCAGAGGAAATACATTCAATTTTGATTTCAAGTTCCTATTTGCAATTTCAATTTCACACTAATAGATATAACTAGTTACTGAAAAATCTCCTGTGGATAATAAAATGGACAAACTAGACACTAACACATTCGGAACCAAATTCAAATCACCCAGCATGTGCTAAAACATAAAAGAATAACTCGCTCTATAGTCAACAAATAAAATGGAACAAGGTAATACAGAAATAAATGTTGTACTTGTCACTACATCTGGTGCCTCTTTCGCCTCTTGCTGAGTCAAAATCTACACTTTGGGCTGCACCGAAACTATACTGACCACAATAATAGATTCTCTCATAACTCTTCCTGCTGATTCACCTAACAATCTTCCTCCAAATCTTCCACCACCATGGGTCAACAATGCCTCACAACTCTAGAAGTTTTTGGCTACTATCTCTTACTCTGACTATCCTCTTCTTCAAGCCTACCCTTTGACACTCTGCGGAGACTGTGCCACACCTAAAACATCGACCCGATCAATATACATAAAATATTGACTTGTATGCTTTCTACAGAAACCATAAATAGGGTCACATCTATCTAATACAGATCCTCCAACAGTCCTAGATACTACAGGTCCTCCACTGGTGTGGTCACCAGTCTCCACTTTTGAACTTCTTCCTATTAAATGCACTCCTGAAGGGCTCTCCAATCCTTTTTCTATTTGCATCCCACCGTATATGGGTGGACATTAGGTCATTCTCTACCAATCAACCCTCTTCCTGAGCTCAGAAAAATCACTAATATAGAATGGGATCAGGAGTGCTGAATGCTCTCGTGGAGGGCACTCCTTCAAGCCTCTTTCTTCTAGCATCCCACCATTGCTGGGTGGACATCAGGTCATTCTCCACCAACCTAGCCCTCTCCATGAGCTCAGAAACAATCACTAATATGGAATGAGATCAGGGGTGCCTCAAACTATCTCTTAATCCTCACAGGAATCTAGAACACTTTTTCTCAGGGTTATTGACTAATTGGGGAGCATACCTAGTGAGAACTGTGAACTTCACCTCATATTGCATCACTGTTTTGCTCCCTTAAATTAACCTTCGAAATGACTCTTGCATCTGATGCTTGACAGATGGCGACATTAACTAACTTATGAAATTCTCCACAAACTCCTCTTAAGAGATTCTGCATTCGACTTATACGCTAGTGCTCGGCATCTCCATCCAACAAGAATACTACCAACAGAACCTTTCTGCCCTTAATAAGTTGCATACTATCAAAAGATTTTTCTATTCTCATTAACCAATCCTCAGCTTCCTAAGGCTCAATATCACTTTGGAAACAAGGTGGCTCCAATCTCAAAAACAACTGCAGATACTTATCAACTTCATCTTTCTTAACTCTTGCTTTTCTACCCCGATCCTCACTCATTAGCTAGGCCACTAACTCGACAAACTAAATCATAAAATTAGAAGTTATAGCCCCCACGGTACTTTGACCTGAAGCAGCCTGATTGGAACTCTATCCACCAACTACCTCTTACTCTTAAGGGTTCATTATGGAGCAACACTTTAATCTATATTAAGAATAAAGACATTCAAATATACATGGATTTATCGTAAACTAATAGAAATGCTTAGGCTAAGTTCCCAACTTCTTCCTCTTACTGATACAAATCATTTCTTATTGCTCTAGTTACAATTCAATCCTTCCAAGCAGTTGCTCTGAAACAACCCTATGATGCCCTAGGACCTAATGAAAGGGTTGAAATCCTAAATCTATAATTTTATTTAATCATTATCATAAATAATCAAAGTTATTATAAACCTAAATAATAAAGCAATATAAACACATTTCATTTTATCAAAATTTATATACTTTAATTCAGATCAAGAAAGTCTATATATCAAAATGATTATATGCTGGTTTACAAAATAGTACATTAAACACTTAGACTTGAAAGATCCTACTTCTACACCTTTCTACTCCATTGAATCTTTACCTCTCCCTGGAACATTATAAAGTATAGAACGAGCACAACTAGACCGGTAGACTTTTTTGCCTAACCCATCAAAAATATCAATATTCAATTTAAAATAGTAAATTGCAATGCAAATAAAAGACAATAATTTATAAAGAATAAGTGAAATGCTAGAAAATGCAAATCCCCTAGAGTTTCAGTGCATACCTCTTTCAAGTTATTAACTACTTGTAAGTGTACTTTCATAGAGATTTTTTAGGTACATGACAGAATATTTACCATCAAAGATTCATTTGCATTTGGCCTTGACATCTTCCCATGATTTTTACAACATTTAGGAATTTCTAACATTCATATCAGAATATTACTTGCACTTAATTCATTAACACATATAATGTAATGATTAGAATGCTCATGTCCTGATATATGCTTATAATTCTACTTCCACTTATGCCTTCCTTTTACATCTCACACATGTCTGTAACAAGTGGGGTCAGAATCATAACATAATAGTGTTACATATCCTCCTACACTCGCTTTTCAACAAGTGAGGTCAGAATCCCTCCCACATTTACACTAGGCATATGGGGCCAAAACAAAACATATATGACCCTTATCATATCTTAATGAGTGCACTTTTCTATATATCAGAACTTCTCCAATGTCATGTTATGAACAATATAAATGTAATTAGTAACTAAATTATAATTCAATAAGTACTCATGTAATGCACAATTTGTTAGTAAGAGCCACATTGCACACATAACATTTGAACTTTTTTCTAATCAATTTTCAATTTCAGAGGAATATTTACATAAATATTTTAGAACTTTTCTATAACTAACTTATTTGTGAGAAAAAACCTTTGTTTCAATAATATACTTAGAAATTCATGCCAAGAAAATCAACCAATGAAAATCTAATTTTTTAGTCATAATGATATTTCTACAATGTCTATCACATGCTCTACAATATCCTGAACTGGCCCGACGAATGAATCTCAAACTTTGGCCTATGAAATCCTCTCTTCCTTTCTCTTTCCTCTCTTCTCTTTGGCTTCTCCTCTCTTTTCCAGCTAGGTGGCTGGGGAAACTGGATTTTGCAAATAGTTTTAGATATTTTATTATTTAAAAACTACTAATCTGACTTAGTTCGACGACGTTCAACTCCCTAACTCCATTGTGCTTTTTGAGAAATTTTCAGATTCTTCCATAATCTTTTCATTTGAGCCTTAGCGCAGCACAACAGCGACATTGCTTGGCGCTGCAACGCACACTCATAGAATTACATATCATCTTAATGATATTTGCATTGTCTTCTTCAATAACAACTTCTTTGTAATCAAACAATCTATCTTGTAAATTTTCTCTACTGAATAAAACAGCTTGAAGTTCTAATTGGGAGATATATTAATGCTTTATATATTTATCGAATGCAAGAAGCAATCTACCTTTATGATCTCTTATAATTCCTCTAATACCTCCAAGATTCAAACACAATAAAGAAGCATCAACATTGATTTTAATCCAATCTAGTGATGGGGGATGCCAAAAATCTAAAAACTTCAAATGGAGATTAACATCCCAGTCTTCTGGAATTGGATTACGCTTTGGTTGCAAAGCTGTCATTAAAATATTGGAAGAAGTAAAAGAAACTGATGGCACCGGTCCACCATGCTTAGCAGCATTCCTTTTCCACGAAAAGGAAACTGTAGTAAGATACACCCAGACTATACTTGGATTGCTTTTTGTCAGCCTTCTAAGTTCAATAAATTTCTTTTCCATAGAATGAAAAATCGGAACAATAAAACCCCATTCTCTCAGCTTGACAATAATCTCAATAAGATACTTGCAAAGCAAATTAATATGAACTATATTTTCAATTTCATGACAGACTCTAACACAAAAAGTAGTTTGAATAAGTTTTTAATGATTGTGGTATTTATTTGTAGAAAGAGCATTCTTACTTACTCTCCACCAAAAAAACTGCACCTTTGGTTTGAGCTTCAATTTGGAAATCCATTTCATGAAAACATCTACTTCTTCAACATAGAGCTGATCCAACCCGGCTTGATATGCTAAAGAAGTAATTGATTTTCCAGAATGTTGATGCACTTGTTCAATTTGATTTTCACTAAGATTTGAATAGATAGGAACCTGCATAATTAAGGACAGAAGGTCTTCATTAAAGAATTTCTGAATTTTAGAGTAAAAATCCACCTGCCATTCGGAGATAATAAGCTCTGAACTTTCTTGTTTTGTGATCCCACATGATCCATATATGAAGGCCATTTATTTAAGCTTCTATCAAGAATCCAATCATCATCTAGAATTCTGACTTTGTTATCATTAGATAACCTCCTTTAATAATAGGTTTACGATGAATAGCACCATCCACCAAAATATGCCAAGTAGATGAGGATCCTCTTTTGATTTCTGCATTCCAAACATCCTTACCATATTTAGCAATAATATTACGATTGAGTAGAGAGGAATTATTTTGGATCAAATTCCAAGCCAACTTAGCTCTCAATGACCCAACTTTACTAACAATAGAATGAATACCACAACCACCAAGCATTTTTGTTTTGCACATTTCATCCCAAGCTACATAATTGAGCCCATTCCTTCCTTTATCCTTATGCCAAATGAAATTTCTGCATAACTTTTCAAGATCAAATAGGACCTCCTTTGGAATCAAAGAGTGAGTAGATAAAAAAATCGGAAGAGATAAGAGATGATTTGGTCAGTAAAATTCTCCCTGGCAATAGTTAGAGCTTGGCATTTTGCCTTTTTCAGTGACTGGTTTACTTTTGTTCATTGCTTGATGTAGAACCAATCAAAATCTTATATTTTGTTTGGTATGTAACCTGGAAGCATTTAACAAAAATTTGAATCACCCTGTTTAGTTTGGGCGGACAAATAGGTTCCAAACTGTTTCCAAAATCAGTTGGGATTTTTCAGGGTTTATTGGGGTTAGGATTATAGAGGTATTCTAAGGCATTTACTTTGAAAATCAATTGAGCCTAAAGAAGGAGATAAAATCATAAATTCATTTTCTTTTGGTGCAGGCTCTGGAGAGGTTTTCCTTTGGAGGGAGCGGAATAGGTGATACCATTACTGCACAAGGCAGGATATTGATGTTCTGGTATTGCATCACTTATTTGCTCCTAAAAAATAACAAACCAAAATACCAGCAACTTGAACCTCATCTGCAGAGTAGTTAGATCAACGCATGAAGTGGGAGAAGTGATTTTGAATAATATGATGTTTAGTTACAGGTAGAAAATGTCATTTGACCTAAATAAATAGTTTGTATTATTTCAACTTGATCATATGTAGGGTCAGATTTTTTTTTTCAGACTTATTAAACATTGATCATACATACGATCGTACAGAATTTTTGAAATTCTCTCTCTATTTTGCATTGAAATTTTGAGATTTTCTTTTCTAGGTATTTTCTGTAAGTTTTGAACTTAGGCTTATATACCTCCTTTTTGAGACCATTAATGTTAGAAACTTTACTGCAACATTCATACAAGCTCTTTATTCTATATACTCTTCATTCTCAAAATTTCATAGTTAAATCAATAGCAAGTTAAAAAAGAGCTACTAATGATTAATCCATTACTCATGCATTCTTTTTACTGACATAGCGATGTAAGAAATTTAATTTTTATTGTTTTTTTTTTGTTTATTTACTTTATTTTAACATATTTTGCTAAACGTTTTGCCGATTTAGTTTGTTACTAGTTTTAAGGTGTTGGGTTGTACTTTCCCAAGAAAAAAGGCTGTTTTTGTGATAATTTTTTGTTGCCTCGATGAGCTAAGGAGGGAGTGGTAGTGGAATTCTAATTCAGTGTGGGTATTGTGTGGATGTGGATTAGTTGGCTGTTCAATCACACAAATTGTCTTGTTTTTCAAATCTAGCACTTATTATTGTACAATATGCCCTGATAACCATTAATATATATTGAGTTTTTTTTTTTTTTTTAAATGAGCGTGACACCTGAGATTAAAATTATTGCAATCATTCCATTATTGAGCAATAAACTTTCTTCATTAGTAAATTTATGTTAACATTTCGTTTCTTTTGTTGAAATCCTTTCCAATGATGAAATTGTCTTCATATGTTTTTCTATCAATAGGTCTTTTTCTCTCAGACAAATAATGATATTAAGATGTTTGTGTTATTTAATATTTATTTTGGAATCTTCTTTAATATTAAAAGAGAAACATAAAATTAAGTCATGTGTTGCAAAGATAAGAATGCTAGGTGGATGAGTGGATTTACACTTAGAGATAGATTGTGAAATGAGTATATACATGAAATAGTTGGAGTAGCGCTAGTGGAAAATAAGATAAGAGTCTCCTTAAATGGTTTGTTCATAGAAAACATCGGTTTTCTGATGACCCTGTTATGAGAGTAGATGTATTAGATCTGACCTATGTTAAGAAAGGTAGAGGTAAACCTAAAAAGAATAGGTTATAAACTATAAAAAATGTTTGTTTTTATCATATTGGAATAATAATTTGACTCTTAATAGGACACAATGGAGAAAAAAGAATTCATGTAGCCGACCCTAAGTAGTCGGATAAAAGTTTGTTATTATTTTTGTTGTTGTTGTTCTTGTTTTAAGATGCACTCATAGTGTTTTATGACATTTTATCGAAGTTCACTTTTTGTTAGAATTTTTTGCGCCAATGTCAAATATGCCACCCTTAGTGTCAAGAAAGATATTCATGTGATATGTGACCCACATAATTATCTGAGGGTCACCACCATGCTTATAAAGTGGAACCACAAACTTTAGCTCTTTGGGATGGATCAAGTGAATTCTTCCATGTGCCAGCGATTGGCGACATTAAGGAGACGTCATATGAGGAGATTGAAAAACAAAAAGAAGAGGAAGACTTATCATTGCAAACATATATTGTTAGATTTTGATAGCTCTCCACCTCTCCACCATTGAGCTGGAACCTCTCAGTCAAGTATCAAATTTATGAAACTTGCAGGGATCTTAATAAGAATAGTATCAAACAACATAACGCCCATGAATGATACCTAACACATGAAATGCACATTAAGAATCCATTGAATTAATGGGTGTAAGTGATTTGATGCTCCTATGACTGAACTTTTGATGTATGGCATTTATGCATGTCATGTTTGTTTTCTTATAAGCAAAATGAATGCACCATTTTTGTCTCTTATATGGGAATCTTTTTCACATCTCAATTCTCTTATTCTTCTCAGTGAATTGTTTCTAGTCATATTTTATAAGATCTTATTTTATTGGATTTAAACTCATATCAATTGCATTATTTGAGAGTGTTAGATGCCAAATCTATGTTTTTGAATAGTGTCAGCTTCATATGATCCAATTATTATGTAACATCATTACCCCCCATCACAACTAGTCTCACTGATCAAGGGAAATAACTATTTGGTGACATTGGGCTTGCTGTGTGATAGAAAGGTCCCTCTCAAACTTAAGGGAAAATTCTATAACATTGCGGTGAGACCTGCTATGCTTTATGGTGCAAAATGCTGACCATTAAAAGAGAAGCATAATATTAAGTTAAGAGATGAAGGATGCTCAGGTGGATGAGTGGATTTACCCTTAGAGATAGGATACGAAATGAGCATATATGTGAGAAGGCTGACTAGCTCCTTTTAATTTGATGTAAGAATTTTAAACTTATATCTTGAAATTAAATTTGAAATAGCTTATTAATTTTGACTTAAATTTTTAAAAAATTTAAATTAATGTATTCAATATTTTTAAAAATGAAGATTAAATAAATTAAAAGTATATATATTAAATTGAATATAAGTATTGATTTATTGACAAAATATTGATTATCCAATATTAATTGATTTATTATAATTAGTATTATATGCAGATTTACTTTATTTTTCAACATTAGATTTTTTTTCAAAATAATAGTATAAATTATCTAACAAATTTAATTTTCAAATTTATTTTATTCAGATTTGTTTTATTTTTTAACATTTGATTTTTTTCTAAATAATAGTATAAATTATCTAATTATTTTTTTTCATAAAATTATTTCCTTCGATTTGAAAAAGCACCAAAAATATAAATATAAGAAAAAGAAGAAAATTAAAGAGGAATCAGCATTCCAACAAAAATCACATTTAGCATGACATGAACGTATATATGCATACAACTTAATATTTTAGACAATAACAAACACAAATCACATTAAAATATCTTAAATAACACACTTATGAAAGTTTTAAAAAGAGGGAATCGTCATAACCTTGCCATGTGTGTCCTATAATATGCAGTCTTTTATGTCTGACCAGAAATGTATACAAGACAGATAAATGTCATTCAATCTTACTATCTCGTCTAACCCATCATCAATGGAATGCTTTAAACATTCCATAAATCAATTGCTACTGTCCACAATCAACAACTTCAAAGGACTTTTTGGTGTTCTATACATTGCACAAGAAGAAATAATAAGCACATGAAACTTTGCAGAGGAGTTAGAGAATGCAGGATACCAGTTACATGCATCCAAACAAGGAAAATATACTCAATTTATAGGAGAAGTTCATCAGATTACAGGATCAATTATTAGTTGGTAAAAAAAATAAAGTAATAGTTTCATTTGACATTATTGTGAGATTTGACAATACGAATTGATTAGACAATACAAGCTAGTTTGATAATACATGATGGTTTGACAACACAAACTTATGTGATAATGCATAGCAACATTATAGTGGAAATTTTATTAATGTGACAACACATACTGATTTGATGGTACATCCTAATTTGACAATATAATCTTTTTTACTTTGATTTTTAATATGAAATTATAATTTTTCTTGGTATATTGGTTATAAGTTAAGATATTTTATAATTTAAACATTCAAACATATTCACATTAATATATAAACTTTTTTGTTAAGTCAGATTGTATTGTTAAGTCAATTTTGTAGGCTTGTATTGTAATGTCATTATGATCCTATTAAGTTTGTCTCATTATTTATTGATAGGAGTTCACATTGTTGCATGTTGTCATATCAGTTGAAATGTAAAGGTGAAATATCCCATCAAATAACATTGTAATTATCATGTGAAGGTGGGATTTGCACATATCAGTTCATTGTGCATTGACATTTCATGTAGCTTGCAATAGCCTATCAATCTGATGGCCTATAAAATTGTAAGGTCCATTCAAGTCCTAATGTATTTTATGATTGCAAGTGATGGTTGAATATCTTTAATATTTACTATTTAAATGGTGCATCGAAGACGCATAAAGTATATTTTCAATTTTTACTTGAGTTATTAAGAATTTTTTTGTCATGTATGAAGAAGTTGAAAGGCATCCCCAATAAATTACCTGCTTATTCAAAATTAAATTAGATGAATATAATGAAACAAGCTAATAACATATGATTAACATTAGGAAATTACCTGGCTCTCAAGCAGACTATCAAGCTCATCTTTATAGGTAATGATGCTACCCACGTGCAACTCTCTTAGCCAATTTGCATTCCACCTATTTCAAATATATCTTAAATTATTGAAATGATTATGCAAATTGCATTATAAACAACAAAATAATTAAAATATTTTCATACTTAAACCCAACACTAAGACAATGAAGCTGTACTGGATAGGGCACACGTAGCACTGGTCGATCTATATGTAGATGCTCCCAAACTCATATATGTAACAAGTGAATGCACCCAGCTATGTTGTCCCTACTGGGCCTTGTTGCTTCACCCAACTCCCTGTACAAGTGGGTTAAGACTGCTCCCCCAAGAGAGTATGTACTAAATACTACCAAATCCTTCACAATAGTCAAGTTCTTGAGGTACTCTGCACTCTCTAAGAGGGAGAAAAAGGAGCTGAGGTACTCTGCCTTCTCTAGAATGGAGAAAAAGGAGCTGAGATTCTCTGCCTTCTCCATAAGGGAGAAAAATGAGTCAAGGTTCATTTTTGTCATCGGGAGGGTGACATAGCATTTGACACTCCGCCGCATCAAGTTTGGTGAAAGTAAGTTGGTAAGGGCTTCTTCACCTTGTTGTGGGAGCAAAAGAAGAGTCACATTATTTTAGTTCAATTCTCGGAGTGGATGACTTCGAGAAGTGGACATAGGTCAAAGTTGACTGCAGTACAAAAATTTATGGTGTTTTTTTTTCCTTTTTTCTACTTTTATATTTCATGTATTTTTATTTCTATTATAACTGCTTGGGAAATTCGATGATTATTACTTTATTTCATAGATCAAAATATCATCGTAGTAAAATTAATATTTTTGATATACTCATTTGCTTCCGCAATCAATTAGAATATGGTATTTTTAATTTATGAAAAATTGTTCCAAAAATATTATCATTATTATTTTGAAGTTAAGAAAATTATTAAAATTACCAATTCACACCCCTCCTCTTAGTGAGTCTTGGGC